TTCCATATGCCTCTGGATAGTAGCAAACCAGAATAGATGTAATCAAATTCCAGGGATGGAATTTGGGGAACTCTCCAACGACTTACATCAGGGCTGCATTCTGAGCTGCTGCAGTCATACACCTAGAGTGTAGTTCTAACGTTGCCATGTGAAAGCACAAGGTCACAATGGGGCCCCCATAATTGAAAGGCCAAAATTGTGTCTGCCTGGCCTTGAACATCATCAAAATCCTTTCTTCATGCCCTATTATCTCAGTTGGATTGGGAAATGACCCCAGGGTAAATGTGGCCCCAGTTTCCATAGTAATCAATTTACCCAGGATTGCTGATTACTTCATAATCATGGCAGCTCCCTTGCCTTTGGGCTTGTGCTTGCTTGGTTTGTTGTTGTTGTTGTTTGTGTGTGTGTGTGTGTGTGTGTGTGTGTGTGTGTGTGTGTGTTAAAAGGTCTGAGTTACCTAGTTCACATTGCAGTAAAAAATTAGATGTTCTCCACATAAAATACTTATTGAATTCTAGTTTCTGCTCTGAAATTTACTGGTTGTTTCAACCTTCAATAATTTATTTGTAGTCCATGAGCCTGCTCCCTCATATATAAATAGGATTTGAGCAGAGTTACATGGGGCCCTGCAGTTCAGTTTCTACCTGATTAGCACAATTTACTCTAAATCACTGAGTAGATTTTAGCCTAAAATCACAAAGAGAAGGATTACAGAATGCAGTGACTTGCTTTTCTTGTTTTTCCCATACATAAGAGAACCTTCAATATTTTTTTAAATTTTGTTTTATTGCTTAAAGTATTACAAAGAGTATTACATATGTCTCCTTTTCCCCCCCTTGACATTCCCCTTGCCTCCCCTACCCTCAGTGTCTTATGTCCATTCGTTATGCTTATACGCATGTATACAAGTACTTTGGTTGATCTCGTACCTCCCGCTACTAGGCCCCAACCCTTCCCTGCCTTCCAGCTGTAGTTTGACAGTCTGTTCGATGCTTCTCTGCTTCTGTACCTATTTTTGTTCATCAGTTTATAATGGTCTTTATTATCCATGAATGAGTGAGATCATGTGGTATTTTTCCTTCATTGACTGGCTTATTTCACTTAGCATAATGCTCTCCAGTTCCATCCATGCTGTTGCAAATGGTAAGAATTCCTTCTTTTTTACAGCAGCATAGTATTCCATCGTGTAGATGTAACACATTTTTCTAATTCATTCATCTGCTGATGGGCACTTAGGCTGTTTCCAGATCTTCACTATGGAGACCCTTCAATATTGAAGGTGCGAATAAGCATTTTAAAGGAAAAAAGGAAGGAAAGCTTGCCAACAGATTTGCTAAAATCTGCTTTTTCTTTCATGGAGTCACTGACTGTCATCCTGGATGTCAGTATTGTCAGTCCAAGGACTCCATTAGTCCTCTATTTTCTGAGATCAGATAGAAACAAGTAGAGGACTGGGATCATTCTGGCTATAAGAATCTTCGGGCCGTCCAGGACGCTGCTCCGCGAGCTCGGGATGTTCCCGGAGCTCAATGACCTCCTCAATGCCTCCCCGGACCGGGCGGAGCCGGGGAAACTGACTCTACTCTGTGATGCCGAGACCGATGGCAGTTTCCTTGTGCACCACTTTCTCTCCTTCTACCTCAAAGCTAATTGTAAGGTGTGTTTTGTGGCCCTCGGTCAGTCCTTCAGTCACTACAACATTGTGGGACAGAAGCTGGGTGTCAGCCTGACCACGGCACGGGAGCGCAGGCAGCTGGTCTTCCTCGAGGGTCTCAGGTCAGCGGTGGACGTCTTCTTCCGGGCCGAGGGCGAGGCACATCCCCTGCAGTTCCTCAGGGAGGCCAAGGCCGCCAGCCTGCAGCCGCTGTATGAGTTCGTGCGGGAGGCCCTGAAGCCCGTGGATCAGAGGGAGGCTGCCTGGAAGAGCCCGGTGCTGCTGGTGGACAACCTCAGTGTGCTGCTGAGCCTGGGCGTGGGGGCGGTGGCCGTGCCGGACTTCGTCCACTACTGCAGGGCCTGCGTGTGCTGCCGGCTGCAGGGAAACATAGTGGCCCTTGTGCACGACAGTGGGGACGCCGAGGACGAGGAGAACGACGTCCCGCTGAATGGCCTCAGTCACCAGAGCCACCTGGTCCTGCGGGCCGAGGGCCTGGCCACCGGCTTCTGCAGGGACGTGCACGGGTAGCTGAGGGTCCTGTGGAGGACGCCGTCGCCGCCCGCCCGGCGGGGTCGGAGCCTCACTTTCCAGTACAAGATCCAGGACAAGAGCGTGTCCTTTTTCGCCAAAGGAATGTCTCCTGCGGTTCTGTGACCCGCGGGGCAGACGGAGCCCCCAGGCGGTTTCCTCACGGAGGGTGAAGCATCTCCACCTTCGCAGCCGTGTTCCCAGCTGGACTGCGCCCAGGGATGAGTGGACTGTGGCGTGTGCCCTTGTCCCACGTTCAGAAAACACGTCAGGAACCCGCACCCTGCCTCTGCCGAGACAGCTGGGTGAAGGGGTCCTTACAGGTCTGAGCGCCGGCAGGGACAGTCCCGCTGTGAGCACCCTCGGGGACAGAAGGGGCCGTCCTGGCTGCCATAGAGGGCGCCCCAGGTGCCCCACATCCTGGCTCCGCGGGCATCTCACAGTTTCCACCTTTGTCTTGCAAAGGTCCTTTCCCTAAACCCAGCGAAGAAGCAGTTTAGGAGGCGTGAGGCCCGAGGAGGCCACACTGGCTGACCCATCCTCCTGGGAAGGGGAGGGCTCCCACCCGTTCAGCTCGGCTCCCCCTGGCTCCCCCTGGTTCTGTGGAGAACGCGGAGGTGCTGCGGGGAACGGGGAACAGGCGGAGAGAACAGGCGACGAGCCATTAAACCAGTTCGAGTAGCAGGAAGCGCACAGGCTGCTGTCGCAGGAGAGAGCAGTGGTCCCCTCGCTGGCGTATGAGCTGCCGGAGCGGAGCTCGGGCGAGAAGGCGTGGTTTGGAAGCAGTGCCAGTGCGAGGCCTTGGAATGCTCCTGCTTTTTCTCTGAGGGCCTCTTAGCTCCTCAGGGTTCAGAAATGTCTTTTCCTTTTTCACTGCCTGGAAGGGCTGTTCCTTTTTAGCTTAAAATAACTTCTAAGTGTTCCTTCACTTTTGACTCATTTAGGATTCCTTACGGTCTTGTGCTTTGTCTCCATGCTGATCATGAAATAGCCCGGCAGTACTGACTGAAGAGAACGTACTCTGATTTATTTACATGTAAAGTTTCTAACATTGAGCCTCTGTACCGTTCACCTATCTAGGTGTTGAAAGGTTAGTGTATCTGTGCTCTCAGGAGTCTAGTTTTTTATATCGATTTTAGAGAGAGAAACATCGGCTGCTTGTTCCACTTATCCATGCATTGGTTGATTCTTGTTTGTGCTCTGACTGGGGATCGAACTCACAACCTTTGTATATCGGGACAACGTTCTAACCAACTGAACTACCTGGCCAGGGCCTCAAGAATCTTTTTTGAAAGGGTATTGTGCCCGCCCTGGCCGGTTTGGCTCAGTGGATGAAGATTTGGCCTGTGTACTGGGGGGTCCCGGGTTTGATTCCAGCCAAGAGCACATGCCAAGGTTGTGGGCTCAATCCCTCAGTGGGGGGTGTGCGGGAGGCAGCCAATCGATGATTCTCATCATTGATTTTTCTATCTCTGTCTCCCTCTCCCTCTCCCATCTGAAATCAATAAAATATATATATATATTAATATATTTTGTTGATTTTTTACAGAGAGGAAGGGGGAGGGATAGAGAGTTAGAAACATCAATGAGAGAGAGACATCGGTCGGCTGCCTCCTGCGCGCCCTCTACTGGGGATGTGCTCGCAACCGGGGTACGTGCCCTTGGCCTGGTCGAACCTGGGACCCTTGAGTCCTTAGGCCCGCACTCTATCCACTGAGCCAAACCGGCTAGGGCTAAAAAAAATTTTTAAAAAAAGGGTTATTGTGCCCACTTATCCAGATGACTTTGACCAGCACTTTATCAAGTTCTATAAAGTGTTCTTCAGAGACTTTTCCTCATTTTTTAAAACTGTGGTTGTATATTTTTTTATTAGATTTTTAAATCTTTATTGTTGCAAGTATTACATATGTCCCCTTTCCCCCCCATTAATGTCCTCTAGCCCACCCCCCGTCCCCTGGTTGTATAATTTTATTAAAACTAATGCAGAAATTGATTTAATACCCTCAAAAAAAAAAAGAATCTTAGGAAACGTTAGTAGCCAGCCCACCAGCATTGTGGGAGCAAGAAAATGCAGCATTTCAAGCCCCATTCCAAGGAGTGCATTTGACTAAGGTTTATATTGATCACAGAGCCCCTCCCCCATCCAGCATTGCATAAAGCCATCCCATTGCTATCACTATGTGGACTAGATGATGGAAATCAAGAGCCCTTATCAGAAAACACACAAGAAGCTGGTAACAGTGTGATCTTTGCATGCCGTCTTGCTTAAAAGTCTCTCCTACTTCACTTCTTTTTTTGTAGTTTCCTGGCATCTTTTAAGATAAGACAATTACTTCTTGACTCCTTGTGATCCCACAGAAACTACAAACCAAGCAGATAAAGAAAAATAAGCTCTTTAATCAATTGAAATCAGAGGGGCTATAATAAAATATTAATCTTGTAGAACAAAGGGTCAGAAGCACTGGCCAAGGCAAAATTATCGTAATAATCCAACTCTTAATTGGGTTGCTCTCCTATATTTCAATTGAATGACTGCTTTTAAGCCTCCCTTCAACAATGACTGTCTCTCTAGCATAGCTTCCAGAAGTCTATCTGTGAAACGAATTACAGTTCTATAATTTTTCTCATGGCTATCAAGAGAGTACAGCAGTTTCTTAGTTTACTACACTGTCAAGAGTCTACATATCTGCTTGGTGCATTCAAAAGCAATCACTCAATTTTTCAATATAAAGAAAGGAAAATAATACCGCTGCCAAAGTTAATGGGTGTAAACAGCCAACAGAGCTGACATTACAAAGGAAGTTACAGATTTTTGGGGGGGTGGTAGATTTATTGTAGAAGATATATAATTTTCATATATTTTTGAAAGGGCCAGTGATACAGTTCTGAGCTCGACCTCGGGTTTCCACAGTCTCTAAGGGGAAGAAAGTCTGCCTAAGAACAGGATGTTAGTTGAGGGATTGTGTCGAATGAAAAAAATGAATGGATGGTCGGCCACAAAATTTTCCTCTGGCAAAAGCCTGCCACTCTTTTTAATTAAGGTTGTGGCAGCCGCCGCTGCCTCTGTGCCCTCCTCATTAACTTCCACAAAAGACTTGTGGATAATTTCTGATATAAAAAGATCTCTGGCTCTTGACATGCCAGACAGATCAGCCGTGCTATTAAAGAGATCCTCTATACCCAGGCTTTTCAGGTGAGAGTTGAGGTTGTAGCTCTCTTCCAGCTTGAACCTGGGCAGGTGCACATTGACTTTAATGGAACGCAGATTCTCAGGGTTGGTCCACTCATGCAGTTTTTCCAGAGTCAATTGTTCTTCAATCTGAAATGAGAAAGGGCAAAAGAAGAGGTGAGAACTATTCCACATAAGCAAGGCAACATACATTATTTACATGAATGGACTCATTTTATCAGTTGCTAATTAGATTCCTTCATGTTTTGTGCCTAAATAGATTCCACTTGGAGGATTTCATTTCTTTTCAGCAATTGGTGATAACAGAAAAGAGTTGTGGACTAAGCCATCAAGGGCCCAAGTAACAGGGACTTTGGACATCAGATGCTTCAACTACCCATCCATCCACCAACCCAACCATCCATCCACCCAGGCTTTCCTAAACCCCTGCCATACAAGATACTGTGATAGGCCATGATGGCTGTTATTACTTTAACTGGTTGATTGGTGCAAGGTAAAATTCAGAAGTTTTCTTCTATTTCTTCTCTTCTGAACCCTACTGATCACTCCGTTTTTCTGTGAACTCACTGTGCTGAAGTAATGTCTAATAGATTTAGCTTGTGGGTTAAAAAGAAAAGGGACTAGTTCCTCATCTAAAATTGGAAGAGGGTTAATGTAGGGCTAAACTATAGGGTTAAGCCTCTGACAAGTCTCAGCTTAGAGGGCACAGTCCTCTTAGCATAATTAGACTTGACCTTATCACACTCCCTAGATCTTATCTGGGTAGCTAATGGACTGTGGGAGGTGCAGCAAGTGCTGCCAAAACAAGTGAAATTCACAAGAACATTGTAACTATGGTGACCACTACTTTTTTACCTCTGGCTATAAAATAAAGTCTCAGCTTGCCTCTGGATCTCTCTCTTGTGGCCTCACCCAGGCACAGGAAGATCCACCTAGACCCAGCTTATTCTCTTTGTCATTTCTTCATCCTTCACCACTCTCACTAAGGCTTGTGGAACCCTTGGCTGAGCTGGCTCGGCACAGGTTAATAATAGTACCTACCTTATAGCATTGTTGTGAGCATTAAATGATTTAATGTATGCAAAGCACTTGGCACACAGTACTTGTTAGTGCCACAAGAATGTCAGCTATTATTATTACCGTATTACTACTACTATTGGACTAGAATGCACCCATCATTCCATTTGTTCTACTGATGCGGATTATCTCTTTTATGAGGCTGGAGAATTTCTCTTTAAATCACAGAAGAGACAAATATGAAAATACAATTAAAAGAAGGAACATACTGATCTTAATACATACTTTGTACATGCCAATAATTAACATGGAAACTCTTCCTGATAACAGGTTTGGTTAGGGAGAGAGCAGAGAAAAACCACACAGCAGGCTAGAGACACTAAAGAAAAATCATAATCTTCATAGTTTTTCCTAGTTCTAGCCTGACAAGAAATGTCTTCACCTTCAACTGAAATAAAATAGAAACATCATACAAAGTTCATATGAGAAAATAGGCTTAGCTTTCAAGCTAGTGTGTCATATGGGTCGTTTCTACCACGTAGCTGTGAGAAATTTAATTCACAATCTATATGAATTGTGATGAGAAGGAGCAGTGTAATAATAGGATCTCATAGTAGAAGCTGAAGTTACCTAGTATAAATGTTTTGGGCTTTTAATTTTAATAAATTTGTTTCAATTAAACAATTCTAATTTCTCAGCACTTTCCTCTAAAGTTCACTTAAGAAAATTCCTGTGAGCTGCCACTCACATGTGAAATTTAATATAGATTCTTAGATGTCTGCCACCACAACTGTTCACTGACAGTCCCTGAAAAGTTAATCTTAGGGCTTCAGAGTAGCAAACATTGATGACCTACTACCACACAACATACACACAGACAGAACCCATCTATCAGAAGGAAACATGAAGCATGGGTGTGGGAGCCGTTACCTTCTTCAGACCTGTGGCCTCGTCCTCGATGTCATCTGGCAGCAGGATGACCATGCTGAGGTCCCTGCCTTGGTAAGGCAGCTCCAGCACCCGGCACTTAAGGTCCTCGATGTAGCCAAATGGAAATTTGCTCTTCTGATACATCATTTTCACTGTTTTTGTGTCTTTCTGAACAGTTGAAGAAACCAAGTCACTCACATTATTATCTGCATTCTCTTAGGCAATGGTTTTCAACCTTCTGGCCCTTTAAATACAGTTCCTCATGTTGTGACACAACCATTAAACTATTTTCATTGCTACTTCATAACTGTAATGTATCTACTGTTAGGAACCGTAATGTAAATAACTGATATGCAGGATGGTCTTAGACGACCCCTGTGAAAGGGTCATTCGACCACCAAAGGGGTCGTGACCCACAGGTTGAGAACCGCTGTCTTAGAGCAAAGAGCAATTTTATAATGACATCACCTCACCTTATTCAATCTGAACGGTGTATCAGTTGTGGACTTTTTACTGAATGTCTCCTGCCAGTTTCCTTTGAAATAGATGGCATTAACTAGCACAAGTTTGGTCATATTATCAACCATGCCTGCAGCCAACAATTCTGGAATTTTCCCTAGAGAAATAAAGTATTTTTTTAAAATCAGATTTTAGCACCCCATTCTTGAACTGCATTGAAATGCACTTCAAATTCATACTTTATATTTAATTCCCATTAATATGTTAAGTTAGGGAAGCCCTACCAGTATGTTTTGACTGTAAATAAACCAACTAAAAGGTTTAAAAGCTTAACACAGGACAATTTTTTCTGCATTGTATGAGAAACAATGAGCCTTCTTTTGGAATGGCTTTCCTTTGACAGGCACAAAAAATATTTTTTCATGAAAACCATCTATACTAATAAAAGGGTAATAAGCTAATTAGACCAAACATCTTCCGGGTGACCTTGCGGACGTTCTTCGAGACAAAACCACGGTGAGGGAGCCAAGGCAGAGGCAGTTAGTGGTAATCAGACCGGCAGGGCAGAACAGTTAGTTGGATCCAACCAGCAGGGGAGAGTAATTAGGGGAATCAGGCCAGCAGGCAGGTGAGCAGTTAGGAGCCAGTAGTCCCGGATTGCGAGAAGGATGTCCAACTGCTGCAGGGATCTGGCCTAAACTGGCAGTTGGACATCCCCAGAGGGATCCTAGATGGAAGAGTTTGTAGGCCGGGCTGAGAGACCCTACACCCTGTGCACGAATTTTGTATCTTGGCCCTCTAGTTTTCAATAAGTCACTCCTTCAAAGCCTCCAAGTGAAAGCTGCTCTCACAGAAAACATTTTAACAGATAACAAAAGGCTAGGACAGTTAGTCCTCTGAAACGCCAGTATCCCTGTGACCACAGCATACCCATGAAAAATGCCTTGGATGGAAGACAGGTGTTGGGTAGGTGCCTTGACTCAGACCTAGACGAGGTTAGAGAGAGTGGTGGCGGAGAAACAGCTGAGATGGAGCCACCCTTGACAGCTTAGACAAGACATTTCCCAAAATACTTATGGCCACAGCAGTTTGTGTCACAAGAATGAGAATATTAGAGGCCCAATGCAAGAAATTTGTGCCAGGGGCTCAGCCTCCTCCACCTCCGCTTCGACCTGAAGTTGTCTAGAAAGGCATCCAGTCTAATTACCATATTATGTCTTTATTATTATAGACTAGAGGTCCAGTGCATGACATTTGTGTGCTCGGTGGGGGTGGGGGGGTCCCTCAGCCCGGCCTGCACCCTCTCGTAGTCGGGAGCTCTCGGGTTATGTCTGACTGGTGGCTTAGGGACCAACGACTTTCAGTGGGAGCAGGCCTAAGTTGTCAGTGGGACATCCCTAGCACTGCTGTGGAGGCGGAAGAGGCTCCTGCTACCACTGCTGCGCTCGCCAGCTGTGAGCCCGGCTTCTGGCTGAGTGGCATTCCCCGTTGGAGTGCACTGACCACCAAGTGGAAGCTCCAGGGTTGAGCAGGCTCGTGCCAAAAGTGGCTCTCTGACATTCCCTGAGTGGTCCCAGATTGTGAGAGGGTGTAGGCCTGAAAAAGGGACCCCATGGTGCATGGTTGCAGCTGGGAGTGATGAGGGAGGTTGTCCAGCCAGGAAGCGACCGTGGGAGGGTGCCAGGACATGTCTGGCCTATCTTGCTCAGTCACGATTGGCCAGACCCCAGCAGCAAGCTAACCTACTGGTCAGAGTTTCTATCCCCTGGTGGTCAGTGCACATCATAGCGACTGATTGACCAGTTGACTTTCTGCCTCCTAGCGACCAGTTGAGTTGCCTTAGCATATCTATACTAATAAAAGAGAAACATGGTAATTAGGGTACGACCGCTACCCTTTTCATTGGCTAATCAGTGAGTATATGCAAATTAATGGTCAGCCAAGATGGCGGCCAGCAGCCAGGCAGCTGGGAGCGAACATGAGGCTTCCTTGCTGCGGACTCCAATGTTCCCTCAGCTGCAACTCTAAGCAACTATGTACTATGTTGCAAATAAGAAGCTAAACAAAACCCCAGAAACCAGCCCGACTAAAAGCCAGCCGGACCGAAACTTTGTATCGATGTTTTCAGCAGCGAGGCCTCAGAGATAAAGCTGGCCCAGAATAAAAAAAAAAAAAAAAAGAAAAGAAAACAAGGAGAGGTTGGGAGCTTCAGTCATTCGCTTCTGGAAAACAGCCCTCAGCCCCTCACACAGACTGGCCAGGCACCCCAGTGGGGACCCCCACCCTGATCCAGGACACCCTTCAGGGCAAACCAGCCAGCCCCTACCCATGCACCAGGCCTCTATCCTATATAGTAAAAGGGTAATATGCCTCCCAGCACCGGGATCAGCATGACAGGGGGCAGCGCCCAAACCCTCTGATCGCCCTGCAGCTCTGTGTGTGACAGGGGGCAGGGCCACAACCTCCCTTTCCGACCTGCTCTGTTCATGACAGGGGAAGGCGCCCCAACCCCCTGATCAGACCTGCTCTGTGCCTGATAGGGGGGAGCTCCCCAATCCCCTGATTGCCCTGCGGTTCTGTGTTTGACAGGGTGCAGCACACCAACCCCCTGATCGGCCCTGCTCTGTGTGTGACAGGGTGCGGCGCCCCAACCCCCCCCCCCCCCCCACGGGCCCTGGTTTGTGGGGGAAAAGGTAGAACCATAAACTCTGCCCTGAGTGTGAAAGGGGGGGCGGCCCAACCCCCTGATCGGACCTGGTCTGTTGGGGATAAAAGGGGGGGCCCCAACCCCCCTCACGGGCCTTGCTCTGTGTGTGACAGGGTAGAGCCATAACCTCCCCATTGGACCTGCCCTGAGTGTGACAGGGTGCAGCGCCCCCAACCACCTGATCCACCCTGCTCTGTGTGTGACCAGGGGGCGGTGCCCCAACTCCCCTATCGGCCCTACTCTGTGAGTGACAGGGGGGAGCTCCTCAACCCCCTGATCGGCCCTGCTCTGTGTGTGACAAGGTACGGAGCCCCAACCCCCCAGATGGGCCCTGCTCTGTGAGTGACAGGGGGCAGCGCCCCAACCCCCTGATTGGCCCTGCTCTGTGTGTGACAGGGGGTGGCGCCGCAACCTCCCCATCGACCCTGCCTTGAGTGTGACAGGGGGCGGTGCCCCAACCCCCCAATCGGCCCTACCCTGAGCGTGACTGAGGGTGGCATCGCAACCTCCTGATCCGCCCTGCTCTGTGCATGACAGGGGGCGGCGCCCCAACTCCCCAATTGGCCCTACTCTGAGCCTGACCAGGGGCTGCACTTAGGGATTGGACCTGCCCTCTGCCACCCGGGAGCAAGCCTAAGCCAGCAGGTCGTTATCTCCCGAGGGGTCCCAGGCTGCGAGAGGGCACAGGCCGAGCTGGGGGACCCCTCTCCCCCTGCCCCCCGAGTGCACAAATTTTTGTGCACCAGGCCTCTAGTCATTAGTATATTGACCTCTGATTGGTTGAACAGACAACCGACCAGATAATCTGACACTTAGCATATTAGGCTTTTATTATATAGCATTCTTTTCCATAATCTGGGCCAGGATGGATTTTCTTCAAAGCTTTACCCTTTTTATCTTACATTCAATGTTACTTTTAATTTTAAAATGTGGTTTTGTGAATTTATGGGGAAAATATTTAGCTGCTTCTGTCTTATAAGTACCGCGCGCTAACCGATTGTGCCACTGGAGCCCCTTTTAGCTGCTTCTGTGAAAGCATGTTGAAGTTCCCACTTTGAGGAATTTCCACATGTAAAAGCTGTCTGGCACTGGACACTGGCAGAGTTTAGCCCCAGCAAGAGGGTGAGGGCAGAGGAAAAGGCAGTGAATCATCTGCAGGCTGGAAAAGTGGAAGGAGGTAAGGAATGGCCAGTGTGTAATGAATGCCTACATTCGGCCCACTCTCTTACCTTCAGTCTGCCCTTTGACCCACTCGTTTATCACCTTTCTTGCATCTTCAGAGGCTCGCTGAAAATCTACACTGGCCAGTTCAGCACCATACATTTCCTGGGTTGAAGCTAAGAACTCCTGTTTAAAATAAAGAAAAAAAAACACACAAAACAGGAGTAACTCCTACTACATACAGAAATGGTTTTCTAAAATCCTTAAAAGCAGTAGAAATTGTCCTAAAAGAATTAAATTTCATTGTGACAAAAAAATTCTAATCGTTATACTTTTTGCATTATGGTAAAAAACACATAACACTAAATTTATCAGCTTAATCATTTTAAGTGTACAGTTCAGTAGTTTTGGTGTACAGAAAAGAAATTTACCAATTCTTTTCTGACCTTTGGCTAACATTTTCATAAATAAGTATACACTGATTATTCTTGGAAGTGAATTATGGAATTCACTCTTCCTTTAGTAACACAGCCAGGGGTAATCTTTTCCTGTAAAGACTGTCAAATGAAATTAAAACATTAATGGGGATATTGCCATCTGTTTAAATTCTGTATTTTATTTCTGAATGTTTATAAAAATAAAAACTGACATCTGTGACTTGATTGTGCTGGAAAATGTCTGCACTGTTTCTTCAGTTTTAGCATGTGAATGTAAAGTACTCACAGGGAGGAACTCATAGGTTTTCTCTCCATATAACCTATTAGCAAGTTTCAGAATATAGGGAGCTCCATGCTTGTTGATATCAGCATTCAGACTCTGAAAACTTGAATGAATCTCCTTAACTGCATCGAAGTGAAGAGTCTAAAATAGAGGAAACATTCTTTCTATAGCCATTCATTTTGAAACGATTCCTTGACATTAGCTTCTATCAAATTAAATTAATGCTTTTATTACTAATTATCAATAATTCCCAGCCCAATACTTTATTAAACTTTCATTTGAGAACAAAAGATTAAAGAATCTAAAATGTATTGGTTTGTGAGACATAATTACATCAGAAGCTCTTTTTATATCACTTTTTTATAATTATAGCCCCATAAATGTAAGTGGTTAATAGGCTTAATATTTATCTATGTCTGCTTTTTCTCCAGACGAAATTATAACCTGTATATTCATATATAAATTCTGCATCAAATATAGTTTTACTGGAAGTTCTGAGAAATAAACAGTAAAATTAAGACTCCATCCCTATGTGGGAGCACAAAGATATTAGAGAATTGAGGGTATTTTTTTTTTTTTTTTAAATATATTTTATTGATTTTTCACAGAGAGGAAGGGAGAGGGATAGAGAGTTAGAAACATCGATGAGAGAGAAACATCGACCAGCTGCCTCCTGCACATCTCCCACTGTATATTCATATATAAATTCTACATGCCCTTGACCGGAATCGAACCCGGGACCCTTCAGTCCGCAGGCCGACGCTCTATCCACTGAGCCAAACCGGTTTCGGCAAGAATTGAGGGTATTTTTAAACTACACTATCAGCATCAGTAACTTAAAAATAACATCTATAAACTTAACATTCAGTAAAAGTTTAATTTTCATGTTACAAATCAAGAACCCTTTATGGTCTTAGGAGTCCTGGGCTGGTTCCTTATTTTAACACACAAAGAAGAAACCTACACAATGTACAAAGTGCAGTTACTCACCAAGATAGGGAATGTTTGCATGCTTGCTATGATAGATCTGCTTTAATGGAAAAGAAAGGGAACTTTTAAAACTATTTTTTGCTGAAATAATACAGCCCCAGATAAACCTCAAAATAGAAGCTGACAATACCCTGCAAGAAGCAAGTAACAATTATTCCCAGGGGATAAAATAAAAAGTGGGTTTTGGGAAATATAAAAGTGCTTTCATGTCTGCAGTGGTAAAGACCACTGGTTTTTTATAAAATGCAGAAATAAAATATTTGCAGCTGAAACAAATGGAGAAACTTGAATCCAAGGCTGGACCATCTCCAGTTACTGGCACCTTGGAATCTTTCCCCTACTTCAAGGAGAGCTGGAGTTCCCCTCTCAGAATTCAACAAAGACCACACAGCACAGTGGTGCACCCCACACCCATGAAGGCCAGGTGGAAGGCCAGGCATTACTGCTTCTTCTCCCTGTAACAGGGACCTGCCATACCACCCAGGGCTTGGCCCTGTCCCTGCAGCGGCCATTACTCACTTCTTTCCTCTGCTTCAGGCTCCCCCTACCCACACAGGCACTTGTGCCAGGCACAGGGCTAGGTCTCCACAATATAACCTCATGATCTCCTGTTCCCTCAAAAAGGCAACACCGCCAACTTCTCCAGGGTGGTGCATTCCCTGTGTCATTTTGTGCTGAAATAGCAGGCATCTATTAATGAGTAGCGAGTTGCATGCAAAACAGAAAGTGAAAAATCTGAAGTGAGAGGAGATGCCTTCAAAGATTTGCCCACTGCAAGAGAAGCAGCACACCTCCCGGCCGTTGTAACTTTCTTCACCGCTGTATCCTCAGCCAAACAGAAAACAGTGCCTGGCACATAGTATGTGCTCAGTAAAAGCTCAATCATGAATGAAATCCTGCATATAAATGAACTGCTCTTGGGGCTTTTCTGAAGGCTGGCCTCATCGTGTGTAGTTGTGAACACACAATTACAGTGTTTAAAACACCCTGTAAGAGCTCAAAGGCACAACTTTTTAGCTGGGACTTGCAGGGAACCCAGACTCCTTTTGTGAGTTTCTGCTGACCTTGGACATCTGTGCCTCGGTAGTGCCTCTGGCCCCCAGAAAGACCATGGCCAGCGCTGAGGAAATGCTCATGGGGGAGATGAAGATGTTCCCAGAGGGGTTGTTGTCCTTCAGGGTGCGGAAGAGGTCCACTGCGAACCGGGTGTTGGCCAAGCTCAGCTGCTCCATGGTGAGGCTACAACACAGGACAGAGGCCTAGCACACCAGCAAATATGGCAATGACATTTCTCCACGTCTCCCTCGCCCTGAAACACCCAGAAACTTGTACTTCCTTTTCTTTTTCCAGGAGGGCAAGAGCACTGTCTCATGAGCACACAGGTGGGAACTGAACAAGGATCTATCAGCGACCCAGGGCCAGGACCCAGGGAGCCGAGAGGGCTCTGACTTGCAGACTCAGCAGCCAGCACTGGGCCTTTCCTACTCAGCTGGGGAGCACACACAGTTCCCACCCTTTACCTGAAATGATAATTTTCTATTAGAAAATCATAGCTAGCTACTCCTCATTAAAGCAAATTTCAGCAAAGTGGTAGATTTTCCTCATTTCCAAGATTCAGTTGCTAACGTTTAGAGTGGTGAAGTGACCCAAGTCCTGAGGCTGCTATAGGATGTGAGAGTTTGAAAACCCAGCACAGGCCTTAGCATTGGGGTGCAGCCCACCAGCAGCAGGGGACAAGCATCCTCTCTGACACCCACCCCTCAGGTGCAGGTGACTGGCCTTCCACCTCAGCTCAGAAGCCTGCTTACCAATCCTGACTCCTCTCAGAGCTTGTTTCCACAGAGATGGGCAAGGAAGAATAATAGTGGTGCTAGCTGCTTCCCTGTCAGTAATACATTGAATTATCACTGTTGTTATTGGAAAGTAACCTCTAGGATCACATTGGCCTCCCTTTCCTCCCTCCCTCCCTCCCTCCCTCCCTCCCTCCCTCCAAAGCAATGAAAAACTATGCCCCCTGGGCTGTCTAAAACTGTTACAAACTGCTCTGGGAAGAAGGAAGTTGAGAAAGAAATTATCTCAGGCTTGGCTCTGGCTTCCAGCCACAAGGCCGTGTCCAGTCCATCCCAGGCCAGCCTGCCCTTGCGCCAGGGACTATGGGGATTTGTGGGGGTGTTTCCAGTATCATCTCCCTCTCAGATAAGTGGTGCAGGCAGCAGTCCCAGCTAAAGGGCAGGGGCTGCAGGTACCCAGGCCAGGGTAGGCCAGGGAGGAGCCAGGAGTAGGCAGCTGGCAGATCCCAGCCCTGGGCAGCCCCTCCTTGCTCTGTCCCACTTCCCTAATGGGCCTGGTGCCAGGAACTCACCCTTTGCTTGCTGCCTGGGAGGGGCTCTGGATCTGAAGATGCCTGCAGTGCAAGCACCGCCCTTATATAGTCCCTGAGGTGGGTGCAACTCTGGGCCTGCAGAAGGAGAAACTGGGTTGGGGGTGGGGGTGGGGCTGGAAGAAGAAGGGGGTGGGAGGAGGGAGAAGGGCGGCGCTGGGGGCGGGATGTTGGGGCGGAGCTGCAGAAGGAGCAGGGTGGGGAGCAGGGCAGGCACAGCTGGAGTCCAGGCACTGCCAGTACAAGCCTAGATGAGGGTGGACTCCATGCAGTGCCCTATTCAGGAGATGAGCACCTTTTTGAGTCTGGGTGAACTCAGAGGTCTGGCAAGGACCTGATGGCCTAGTTCTTGCCTAAGTGTGAATCACTGAGATGACATAATGTATCACCTCTTACAGGGCAAACTAGCCCCTCTGAATCACATCTATATACTCCAAAATGGTTTTCTTTTCCTGTGTTTTTGTTTTTGTTTTTTGTGGTGGGGAGGGACCTCCAGTATAAGATAAAACAGTCCTGTCAGCTGATGGTCATTGGTGCCAGTGCAATGCCACCAGGAATCCCCAATTTAGGGTGCAGTGAAGAAGGAAACTTTATTCAGTGCAAACAGTTCATTGTGATACAGCTCAGTTAGTAGCATGAAGCAGCAGGTGGCAAGGTGGCCCTCTCTGGCTAGCCAGCTCTGCTCTGCTCTGGTCTGCTCCACCTGCTCCATTCCCATCTCCCTCTTACTGTTTCTCCAGGAAACAATCTTTTTTTTTTAATTTTTAGTTATTATTTTTTTTTCCGCTAAAAGTATTACAAAGGGTATTACACATGTGTCCTCCCCCCCCCCCCCCTTGACAATCCCCTGCCCTCCCTTGCCCCCCAGTGTCTTATGTCCATTAGTTATGCTTATATGCATGCATACAAGTCCTTTGGTTGATCTCTTACTCCCCTCCCTCCTGCCCCCCAACCCACTCTGGCCTTCCCACTGCAGTTTGACAATCAGTTTGAGGCAGCTCTGCCTCTGTATCTATTATTGTTCAAAAGTTTGTAATGGTCTTTATTATCCATGAATGAGTGAGATCATGTGGTATTTTTCCTTCATTGACTGGCTTATTTCACTTAGCATAATGCTCTCCAGTTCCATCCAAGCTGTTGCAAATGGTAAGAGTTCCTTCTTTTTTACAGCAGCATAGTATTCCATCGTGTAGATGTACCACAGGAAACAATCTTGAGTGGAAAGAGAAAGTGTGCTCCCAGAGCCAGAAGGAAGCTGGCTTAAATAGAGAGAAGTCCCCACCCCTGCTCTCTGATTGGTCCATCCTTATGCAAAGGAAGACTCCTAGTCCTCAAAGTTTGATTACTCTAAAAAGCAGTGTTCTGATTGGTTTAATGGAACTGCTATGATTGGTTAGTGAAAATGCTGATAAGGATAGACATGTACAGTTCCAATTAAATGGGGAAAGCCTCAGTCTTAAAGATTGAGATATATTCTAGGGCAGTGGTTCTCAACCTTGGCTGCACATTAGAATCACCTGGGAATCTTTTTATAATCCCGATTTCTGGGCCTCATCCTCCAGAAATCCTGTTTCTTTGTTGCTAATGTTGTGGCCCCACGCCATAACAAAGAAACAGAATTTCTGAGGATGAGGCACAGAAATCCGAATTTTAAAAAGATTCCCAGGTGATTCTAATGTGCAGCCAAGGTTGAGAACCATTGTTCTAGGGACTCCTTTCTAAGGGCTGGCTCAGATGCAGGAACACAGTGCAGGCAGGCAGTTCAGTGCAGTCTTCTCCTTAAAGTGCCCTCCTGGTGAGCCCCCCTTCCCTCCCCTCATCCCAAAGAAATGACTGCAAGGGTCTGTCTTATAAATTTGAGCCTAGTTAGCCAGCAGGAGTCCTTCTTGGTAGGTATCTTCTTTCTCAGGGTCCCCAGGTCCAAACAACCTTGATGTCACTATCTTTAGAAACCAAAATGAATTTACCCCATATTCTTCTCACAGTGATGGTGACACCACTATTTCTGTGGGTTGTTTGTTTGTTTCCCACTTTATATGTCTGGGAATTTAACTTTACCAAAATTTAAAGCGTTTGAAGGTCTGAAATAATTCTGCATTCATGAAACTTGTCCCCTGTTTTCTTACAAATCTCAACATGAAACAGCAACAAAGAAAAAGTCCCGTTTTGTGTGTGTGTGTGTGTGTGTGTGTGTCTGTGTTACTATGAATAATATAGCGTGAAAGGGATTGTAGATTTTTGTTTCTTTGTTTTTTACTCCAAAACTTCTTTATCATGAAAAGGGTCAAGGAAGGTCCAATAATAAGTGACAAAAATACTCTCCATAGATTTTGTTTTAAGCAAGAAGAGTTTAATAATGAAGATTTTAGACTGATTTACAGTTTATTAAATAAAGAAACCAACACTTATTGAAAGCCACTTATTGCTAAATTCAAGTGGTTTGATGAAACCTGGCAAGCTCTCCACCATTTCTCAAAAAACCAGAGCACCACTCACTGGCTTCTTCAAAGAGGTCAATGTGAGAAAGTCAGGAAAGAGAGGCTGCTCTGAGAAGTTGATAATTTAAAATCTGAGACACATTAATAGAAAAACAAGTTTTCTGAATTTTATTTTTTCTCCTGCCATGTTGTATTTGTGCTTACCTGGAGTTAGCAATCTGGGTAAATAGAAAAGAAAGCCATTTCATGAGTCAATGTGTATACTGTATATAAGGTTCAGAGAAAATTGATCATTATACATCAATCAATCAATACATTTACTCTCTAGTGTGGGGGCAAAGTAACTGTTCTATCCAACAATATTGGAGTGTTCTCCTTGTGAATTTAAAATATAAATGGCCACAATCAAAGCTCAGAGATACTTACACACTCAGGAAGGTACGGTGTTTGGTATATCTACCAAATGAGCACATGCTTACCCGAGCTCCCATCCATGAATGTCCCCCCAGAGTGAAATGTGTGTGAGCACGTGCAGCTGCAGACATGTACAAGAATGTGCATAGCAACGTGCTTTGTACTAGACCTGCATTTGGAAACCACATAAATGCCCATCAGTAGAAGAACAGACTAATAAATACAGAAGAATAATATACAGTAATAAAAATGAGCAAACTACAGCAATTCACAGCAACACGGCTGCATCTCATAGCTGCACTGTTGAATAAAAGAACAGACACAGAAAGCTGTGTGGTTTGGTTATAAAAGTTCAACAACAGGCAGAACTAACCCTTAGGGTTTGATGTCAGGGGATAGTTTTCTTTGGAGAGCAAGGGGGATTGTACTCACTGTATTTTCTTATTTTCTCTGTTCTCCATGCTCTGGTAGTTGGGGCCTTGATCAACTAATTCCTAGAGATAGCGAATGGCCCCCTGATGCCCCTGCGAGTGTACCTTTGATATAAATTCAGTGACCACACTCTCAAATATCTTCTTTATCAAACTCTTAGAGGCCAAGTCCATAGTTCCCCTACTCTAAACTATCCCCGCACAGGTACCAAACCACTAGAGACTACTTTTTATAGACAGCTCATAGCCCAAAATTATTTAAACTGTCTAATTTAAACCTAGTGAACCTATCCTGCCTTGCCCATTACTACCTGCAAGAATTCCAGAAGGCTTCGCCTTCACCCCTGCGTGCCTCCTGGCAGACTGGGTGCTTCCCAGGTCCCATGTGGTGTGGTGTCAAATGCTTCCAATTTCTAGGGATCTGTACCAGTTAATAATGCGGAGTTTATAATGAGAGAAAACACCATAATTTCAAGAGAAACATCAAAAGTGCGTCATTCAAAGTAATGACCATCACTAGCTACACATTTCCCCCATCTTTCAGGTAATTTGTGGATACTGTCCCAATAGAACTTTTCTTGTTTTGAGGCAAACCATTCAGAGACCCAATTATCTACTTCTTCGTATGTTTTGAAGTGCTGTTCAGAAAGTGAGTGTGCCAAGGATCAGAACAAGTGATAATTTGAAGGAGCAAGGTCTGGTGAATATGGCAGTGGGTTAATACTTCCCAGGCCCAATCTTTTAAAATGTCTTTAACTGGTTTTAAAGTGTGTGGTGGTACGTTATCATGAAGCAAAATTATTTTTCCGTGCCTTCTGGCCCATTCTGGTCATTTCTTAATCAAAGCATGGTTCAAATTGATTATTTTCTGTAGGTAGCGATCAGTATTAACGGTTTCTCCTGGTTTTAGAAGCTCATAATACACCACACCTTCCTGATCCCACCAAAAGCACAGCATTGTCTGCTTTCCGAAGTGATTTGGCCTTGCAGTGGATGTTGATGTTTGACCTGGATCAACCCATGATTTTGTGCATTTGTGATTCTCAAAATAAATCCACTTTTCATTGCCAGTCATAAATCAATTCAAAAAAGACTTTCTTTCGTGCCATTGAAGCAACCTTGTACTGATGACTTTTTTTCCATTTGTCTTTCGTTCAGTTGATGTAGCACCCATTTTCCTTCCTTTACAGTCTTTCCCATTGCTTGTGAATGATTGGAAATTGTTTGTTGAGCAACATTTAATTTTTCTGCAAGTTGTTTTTGAGTTTGACATGCTTTCTCACCCAATAATGTGTGCAATTGTTGGTCTTCAAACTCTTCCGGTTGACCTAGACTTTCTATGTCGTTCGAATCAAAATCATCACTTTTAAAGCATTTAAACCAGTGTTCACAAGTATCTTGAGATGGAACATGTTCACCATAAGCTTTCCAAAGTGTATGATAACTTTTTCTTCAAAATAAAGTAATGAATTAAAACTTCTTCAAATGCTCTTTTTTTGGCATGAAATTCAATATTTTTAAGCATAAAAAAAGCTATGATGTTATCACCTTCAGCAAATTTGACATATGAAGTTTTGAAGCTTGCTGTCAATACCACAAAAGAGCATACATATCAAATTACATATATATCAACATATGTGTAACTCCATCTATTGAAAAAAATGTGCATTATTCACTGGTACACCTAGTAGGTAACCTAAGGCAGTGTTTTGGTATATAAAAATTCTGAAAATATTTGGATACCAGTTCTCCCAAAGTGTGACTACACACAGTCTGGCTGCCTTC